GGGTATTATATCTATCTATCTATCTATCTATCTATCTATCTATCTATCTATCTATCTATCTATCTATCTATCTATCTATCTATCTATCTATCTTTTTTAAATTTTTTTTAATTACCACTTGATATTGTGCGTTCGTTTATATAATGATTACAACACTTACTAGTGATTGCATTGAAATTTTTTCACATTTTTTGTACTGCAGTGAGTGGAAGCATTTATCCTCCAGCTGCTCTAGCGAAGCTCTCTAGTGGTCACCAGTAATGACTGTCATTATACTGGGCAGCTCCCAGTGGCCAACAGTTGGACACTGGTGAAAAATACCAAAGCTCTCAGCTCTCTGTTAGTAAAACCCTTGAAATGTGGACACAAAATGGCTCAGCGTGAGTGAGTGCTCGACGTGATGTGTGTTCCTGAGCAGCTGTCTTCCTCTGATGTACTTTGAGGACTAAAGCAGATTGTGGCTGACATGAATCTGACAGACCAGCTCCAGACAGGATCACGTTGGCCCTGTTTTATCCTTCGCACACAGGCTGCAGAACAGATCTACAATTTTAGCCTTAAAAAGCTCTTCATGGTCTGGGTCCTTGCTGTGTTATGGGGCTTTGAAGGCTGTATGAGTACTCACATAGCTTGTAATCACCTGGCAGGGCCCCTCAGGCTCTTCCAGAGGGACCAGGATTGACAAAACCTCATCTGACAGGGCCCTTAGGCTCAAAACGACCCGCCTGAGGAGAGGGGCTACTTAAATCTGTAACACTGTTAGAATCATAGTAGTTTCATTAGTCATGTCCTGATTTTTTTTTTTCTTCCTGTTTTTGTCTTTATTGGACAGCATACCTACAACAAATACTTGCTACATGAGGCTAACACTGTCCAGCCTTTGTCCAGACTGTGTCAACAAGTCCTCAAAATGCTCATTTCTATTTTTAGCAAGCAGCGTGGCTCTAGGGATGGCAGTGTTGGTCTTCCTGTTTTTTTTTTAAGACATTCATGGTCCCAAGAGTTTGAATCCTACTGACTTTGATGATCTGACCGTGTCTCCAGCGCCACCAGGAGGCTGATATTTGATGGATGAATTGTAACTTTGCAATTCCTCATCTAGCCTTTGGTTTGTGACAAATACCTGCAAAATGAATGCAGTGTTTATGTATTATACTACATAATTTTGTATAGGTGATGACGTGTCATATTATTGTATCATTGACTGTTTATTCTATTCAGGGCTTCAGCTAATGATTATTTACATTATTGCTTAATCTCTCCGTGATATTTACAATTAATCAGTCAGTTGTTTAGCCTGCAAAAAGTCAGAAAACAGCCCAAGGCAATCCCTTCAAATTTGTTTGTTTTGTCTGACTAACAGACCCAAAATTATTTATCTTGCAAAGGTATGAAACAAACAAAAGAGGCAAATCAGTGCATCTAAAAAGCTGCAGCTTGCTTGATAAATCGCTTGAATGATGATCAGTATCTAAATTACTGTTGATAAATGTTCTGTTAATTGTTTAACTATTTGTTTAAGCACTACACCGTACAGTACATGCCTGAAAGGCTCAGGTGATCCTCGTTTCTTTGGCACCGATGTTCCCTGAAGCCTCACACACATTCATCGGTGGGATAGGTGACTATTGTCTGTTGTAAACGTCACCGGCTCTTGGGAATGAAAAGGAATCACTGCAAAATCAATTATGCAATATCAATACTCCCTCTGTTATGTCGCCTCGCACAGCTATTCACATTCACGGGGAGAACAGTCCCTTCCAACCTGTTCAGAGACCATTAAATTAACTGGAGGCTGAATAGTGAAATGGGACGCTCGGGAAAGAATAAATTCAGCGTAAGGCATCTGAGCGTGCACGGCAGAGAATGAAAATAATTCAATTATCAGTGGCTTTCTTTAATATGAGTCATGTTGCATAAAGCATGACTGTGATATTGATCCACAATGCTTAATGTTCCCTGCTGCTGCTACTTGCTGTGTAAGGGTGTGTTTAGATTGGATTATAATCTTTGTTTGGCATGAGCTAATGAGATTTCAGAGACAGAAAATGAAGGCTTTCGTTCCAAAGTGATTTTTTTCTCTATTCTGGGTATCACTCAAAATGATCATAATTTCAAAAGCCCCCGAGTGATAAACGCAGAAAAACAAAAGTTGTTTTTGCATGAGCAAAGGTTTTAGGAGGACTGATAAACTTTTCTTTCATATCAGAATAATTTTTGCGAGCAGGTGTTTTCAAACGATAAATATTCATAATATCATTACGCCTCAGATGTGTTTCCTACATCCCAGCAGATTGTCTCCACTACTTACAGCTGTTTGTGTAACAAACCGGCTTCTTCCTCCTGCCAGCATGCATTGTGCAAGAGAAGGTTTTCTGTGTGAACAAATGATTCATGTTTTAGTTCTGCTTTCTTATAGCCATAATGAAGCCAGGATGGCATTCACTCACACAGTTTGACTTTTTAAAAAAAAAAAAAAAACGAGCAAACGGTGAAAAAGGCTTCAGTGAAGACGTTGGTTGTCTCTTATATAATAATCCAAAAAGCTCAGACTGTACATTTCTCCTCAGCGGGATCAGCTCGCATTTAAAATTCTGATCCGCTTCTGCTTGCCTGCCCTCCCTAAAAAAAAAAAAAAAAAACCTGTGGATGTGTGATATCAGCAGAATTATTAAGTAACACACAACAGAGGCACATATTCACTCGCGAAAACCAAAATTCGATTTATGAATGTCTTGCTTCAGAGTGAGGAATGATGCAGGTTTTTCAGGGAGGTGTGCAGCAGATGATTGCATATCAACATATTCAGTGTTGCTGTCAGAGAGAGGATTGTTATTCTGTGTGGTGTCCTGGAGGGTCTCGACTCAAAGAGCAGCCTGGGCCTGGAGCCTGGAGACTATCGTGTGTGTTTGTGTGTGTGTGTGTGTGTGTGTGTGTAGCCAGACAAAGTGTCTGGGTTCATAGAAAACCAATCGAGACACCTGCTGGCTACCACTGCCAGCCGCTGATAAAATGGGAAAAGAATGTGTTGGGCCTCCGGCGCATATGGCCGCGTTGAAAAGGGCAGGGTGGCAGAAGAACGGTTTCCTCATTTTTTTATTTATTTTTTTTGTTTGTCCTTAACACCTGCTACTTTTACCGCATAGTGAATGAACCTAATGAAATAAAACACATTTGCGCACTGTGATCATTTTTTATTACAAAAAGAAACAGCGGCTCCGGGCGGAAAACAGATAAAAACAAAAAAAAAAAGGCTCCAGTAGAGACAGGAAATAGCTGCTTGAGCAACTGACCCACAGCTACAACATCAGGATTGAAGCACTTCACCATTTATCATGCACGGAGAGGATACTCTGCAAGAAATACATGCAGGGGGGGGGGGGGGGGGGACGACAAACAAACAAACAAACAAAAAAACGAAACACATCACCTCAGCACAACATCGCAACATCTGCGATAGGTAAGGAGAAGGCCACAGCAGATCACAAGAACATCACGTCATCGAAAGGGTCACAGTTCACTTCCTGTCCGGGCAGGAAAGAGATCAGGGAAGGTTTTTTTTTCTTTTCTTTTTTCTTAACTTTTCAGCGAGTTATATGACATCTCCGTGAAGTGCAAAGACACCGTCGCATCGGCGAAATCAGGGATTCCCAGTGTCTCTGCTACCTACGATACTGTAAACAATCTACACTATAAGGCGCACAGTTGAAAAGTTGCCCAACGAAAGAGCCACAACATCAGTTCAGTAAAGGGTTTGATGTGAAAATGCAACGTCATCTTCATCATCAACTCTCTGCAGATCTGGCATACCAACTGTCAATATACCAACTGCAGGCAGTAAAATGCTGTTTAAGTTTTCTTTAAATGGGCATACTACACACACACACACACAAGGAAAAAAAAAAACTACATTTAAAGACAAAAATATGAACCCACTTTCTTTCTTTCCTAAAACATCAATTTAAACTTTAGTATTTTTTTTTTTTCAAATTAGGCACACGGTACAGCACAGTAAACGTTTTTTTTCTTCTTCAATACCTCTTTTGGTTGCTGACATCTAAAGACGTGGACACCGGCGGTCCCTCCCATGTGACTGAAAGGACAAATAGTTTTATATCGCACACACAGAACAGTTACAGTTACTCGCTGCTGGCATCGATCTGTCCGAACCCGTTCCGAAACATTAAAGGGAGAACTTTTCCACCACAGTTTCTTTCAGTGTGATTATTTAACCTGCTTTAATGACCTCGATACCAGTCTTTTTAATGGTCTTACCTAAATACGTCGAAGGTAACAACCACCGCACAATATCTTACAAAGACATAAGGCATGAAACTCCTCTTCGCCTGAATCGCATCAGTCGTATAAAGTCTTCTGGACCTCTCGCGTCTGTCCACAACTTAAGACAAAATATGCTTAAAAACAAAAAAAAAGACCTCAACTGTTTTCGCTTCAAATATTTTTTCTCCTTTAACTATTTTAAACACTGATTGTCTACATTATCAATAAAAATCTAAGGACGTAAACATGATAAGATGTAAACACTGTTATCATCCAACTGGTTTGGATCTCAAAAGGATATTTCGACCCTGTGTGAGATGTGAGAAAAGTTATTTCCACACATGAGATGGAGGAGGAACGAGGTAGTCCGGAGGAGAGCTGATGGCAGGGGAAGGAGTTAATGGGTGAACCTTAAGTGGCTCTGGTGCATCGCTCGGACTGAGGGTCACGGTGGTTTGATCGATTAATCTTCATAGCATAGTTCTAGTCGTCTTGTTATAGTTGAGAATTTCTGATGTGGCAGGGAGAAGCTGTTGAACTCTGGTTTGGCGCTCATTTTCGACCACAACTTGCCGTCTAAATACTTTTCAGTCTGAACTTTCAGAGAGATTTCCTGAAAGCTGTTTTCCTGGTGAATGAGCAGTCATTTGTTTTCAGGGGCCAAAGTGCTCTTTAGGCATGAAATCAGTCTATTTTATTTAATTTTTCTAATTTGCCCAATGTCCTCAGACGATGCGGTAATCGAACGTGTCCTTCTCGGTGTGGTCAGTCCAGTTGGACGAGGGCATGCTGCGGTACGGGTCCAGCAGGATGCGGAAACAGCGCACGATGAGCAGGGCCAGGAAGATGAAGAGCAGCAGCACGAAGACGAAGGCGGCCTTCTGCTCCAGCGTCAGGTAGGAAGGCACGTGATGGCCGCCGCCTGACGAGGACAGCGTGCTGCTGAAGAGGCCCTCGGCCATCCTGGGCACATCCATGCTTGATCGTCTCGGCTCCAGCTCTTTGTCGGTTGCTGAAAGATTTGAGGTGAAGATGGGTGCAGCCAATAAGACCTGTGTGAGAATCCAAACACACGGATTATAGATCACGTCCTCCAAGGTGTAACAGATGGAACAGCAAACCAATATATCAGCTTAACGTAATTGTAGAAACAGAATAAGTCCCACACTGACAACAAGAACAAAACAGAATGTGTCTGAGGCCAGAAAAACGCAGCTCTCAGCCGAGTTTATTTTCGAAGCTCCAGGCGAAAAGCCCAGTGTGAGGAAAGAAGGCTCCTGGGACTCCTTTGGCCCTCACTTTCAGCAGTTCGGGGGTTTTGAATTGGCACTTTGGAGTTTTAGTTATACAACATTTATTGGCGGCAACGCTGCTATGGAGGTTGATATGTCACTGGCTTTATTAAACCACAGCCTGCTATTCTGAGAACACTAACCCTGATCCCTATGAGTAATGTTGACATTCAACCAATCAGCAGCAGCGATTCATATTCAGTGACAGAGTTTCAAACATTGTCATGCATGAAGAGAAATGGATTTCTCCTCTCTGATAAGGTTACATGAATAAGGCATGAATACAAACAGGTTGAAGAGGGCAACTGCCCCAGGGCCTCCGAAAACATGTTCCTTCATTACCATGAACACACACAGTGGAGTTTATTTTGACTCAGTCGCACACACACTGTCCTGCTGCTGTAAAAACTCAGTAGAGCTCCAAATGTGTAGTAATTAAATGTACTAGTTCTACATATTTACCACTGGTTGCAGTATAGACCAAAATGCATAAAAAATTCCCTTTTCCCTTTAAATCCACCGAACTGGGTTCAGCTCACAGCACATGACGTGCAGACTTCAGTCAAGCCTAAATTTGGTTCATTTAAATTGGTTGGTTACGGTTACATTAATCAGATTAATTTAGGATTAGGTTACAGTAGGTTAGGCTAGTTTGTTCATCAGCCTAAGCTTTACCATGAGCATCTGACACATAAAGCTGAGAGAAACAGCAGCTTGCAGCGTTCTGCGCGGATCATTTCATCTGGCAAAAAAGAAGAGGCAGTGAATTTGTCTGTTCCATAAAGACGGTTGGAGTTAAATTCATCAATCCAAAAACAGCCAGCGGGACTGTTCGCCATTTGATGTTGTTTCTCCCGCTGAGCAAATTCTCACTGAGTGTTTGCTGCAAACCATTCTCTCCGAATTCGCCTTCTCTTTACACTGCAGGGGCGCCCCAGACAAAATCATTTTTTATTAATCCTTTGATATCAGAGACTAGTCAGACATATGTGGTGGCTGAACTTAAAGGGAAATGATTGAATATTTTTTGTAGCTCCTATTGCTTCGCTAACTTAATAGCTGAGTTTTTGTGGTCGTGGTTCCATCATTAGGAGCAAAATCCATCACGCTGAACAACATGAGCAGTAAGATGCAATCATATGCTTCCCAAACCTTTTGGATGGTCACACCTTAAAACCCAAGTAAAATCTACTTGTGACCTCCCATCACTTGGTGCATGTTAACTAGCTGTCACCAGTCCGATCAAAGAGGTTTTATTCCCCCTTGTTTCATCTGAATATTTTTTTAAAAGGTCTGAAACACTGAAAATTATCATGTAATTCCCAAGGAAAGCAAAAATCAGAGGAACATCTGAAAAATTTGCATCATTTTATGGTGCTCAAACATCTTTTTTTCTACCTTCCTATCCTGTTAATCTTCTTGTGAAGCCTCAGATTTAACTCCCATGGGTTGAGAACCACTTAACTGAATCTGTGTGTCTGGAGATAGGGTTGAGGTGACAATTGGCCATTTAGTGCGGTACAGTACAGCCTGAACCTGAGAGTAGCTGTGTAAAATTATGCACATTACAACTCAGAAATGAGGTAATTTTACCATCCACAACAATGAGGAACTCAAGTTAATTAATAATGGTAAATAAAATGGTTCTTAATGTAGAGAAGGAAAAAGTATTTGGTTCAAAATATTCATTAAATGACCACCTTACTTTACACTGTAGATATAGGAGAACACGTAACAGGAGCAAAGTTATTAGGGTCACTGTTTTGTGTTTTGGATTTGCCAAGATGATCAGATGGTTGTGAAAACGGGCTGCTATAAAGCACTGCAGAAAATGCATGCCTAGCTATTTAATGAAACAATTAGTGCAAACATTAGTGTTATCACAGTTAGATTATTGTTCAGTGATCGGGTCCAACACAACAGATAGTAATTTGAAGAGTAGTTTCATCCCACTTTTCTTGTATTTGTGACTTAGTGGATTGAATTGTGAAAAGTTTTCTTCTCTCAGTTATAAAAGAAATTAAATCATTATCATTATTATTATTATTATTTGACACTTTTCCTGTGTTTTATTTTAAGCGTTGATCCATAAGAAGATATATTTGTGGTTTTAAGAAACCATCTCCTCTCTCAGGCTTCTCTCTGGCGCTCTGGTAACAACAGGTCAGTCAACAGTCAGCCAATCAGAAGAGAGGAGGCCCTGAGCCTCTTCTTCTTCTCTGTGGACTGAGCGTTTTTTTATACTTTCACAGTATTAATATAGAACCTAGAGCTGCTTTATAATCAAACAACACATGGACGTCTACCTTCATATGGGACCTTTAAGTAGAGCTATCGTCCTGTATGTATTACATAGGTTTTAAGTTGGTGTTGGTCGCAGGGGTTGTGTTGTGTATTGTGAGTCTCACTGTGAGTATGAATGATATGGATGTGTGTTGATGTATCTGTTGTCAGTGGAGTATTGTCTATAAATGTATGGAGACTCCAGCAAGAGAAGCTACTGTTACAACACAGTGGCTAATGGAGATCTAACTAAATAATATGAATAAATAAACTCTGATAGGCTGACTTCTAGTATTGCTTGATAGACTCCTCTGTAGTCATGGCGCTGCGTCACCAGATCTCATGGCGTTCAGTAAAATGTTTAACCAGAAAGGAAATATAGCCGCAACTATGAAAATAAGACCCTGGCTTCAGTTCCATGCTCAAAAACTTTGCTTAAATGGCCACCACCCACTCATTTTCACATCAATCAGATTATCAGTCGTCTCTTAGAAATGTATGCACAACCCAAACTACAATCTTTTCCGGGTTTTGTCCTCCGGTTATGCTTCTGTAAGCGTGAAGAGCCGTCACAGAGACTGACAATCACTTGGGAGGGGGTGCTGGACGTGTTAAGAGACAGCTCCGAGTGACAAGACGGGCAGAGGAGCTGTCTCTCGCTCTCTCTCTCTCTCTCTCTCTCTCTCTCTCTCTCTGCCCAAAAAAAAAATAAGAAAGATCTCTGTAGGCAACTCTCAGGAGAGAGAGACAGATAGAGAGAGAAGGAGGGAGGGAGCAGCCTTCAGCCCTGCCTCGCTGATCAGCGGCCTGTAATCCATCACACTTAAAACTCAAAAATGATATTTCACAGCAGTGATTCATTGCCCTCGCTGTGAAAAAACGATAAGGAACGGGGCTGTTTTTCTTTGTCCGCTGGTTTTCCATCAGCGTTTACTGTCAAATCGTAATCGTCTTGTCTTCTCGTCCTCCAATGACACAGTGAGGTTACAGAGTATTAGCACTTTGGGCCAGAAACCACTCTGCTATTTGTTATGTAACGCACTTCAAAAGACTCCCCAACATTTACATCATCAGCAGCAGCAGCAGCTCCATGACTAAGTGCTCAGAGTTCAGATCGTTTCTCGACAGTCACACCTAAACATTTAAGCCTCCTTTGACAAATTCAGAAAGGAGATCCACCTCCCAATTTCAAAAGGAAATCTGCACTGTTAGAAAAAGCTCATCATGTATTCATGCAGTTTGCTCCTGGGCAGCTGCAATTCAGGAAAAAAATAATTACTCCTGTAGGCCTGAAATAGCCTGGAGATGACAGAAATACAGATAAACTAAGTCTGATATTAGAAACTGACCAGCATTATGTAGGTGCACAAGTTATTTTGGTCCAACTGTAAAGCATCAGTGACGATCACCGCGGCGACGAGAGGAGGATGAAACGATGTGAAGCAAGAGAGAGTAAAATTGACAAGGAAGTGAGTGTGACAAGGACATCAAGCCAAATTTAGAAACGAAGCCAATGATGTTGTAAAGTTGATCAAACCTCCGGGGCTCTGTGTGTGTGTGTGTGTGTGTGTGTGGTGATTATAACTAATGAGGAATTTAAAAGGCATTAGAGGAGGTGAAATGAAATGGTTAAGGGGAATTATGGGACTTTATTTTTCAGCTTGTCAGTGATTTCATGATAAAAAAATGTCCTTTATTATTATTGAATGACCACCAATGAGTTAAACATTGTACAAATACAATATTATACAACTTTTAATTCTCAAATCAGTTTTTAAATATATGTAAAAATATAAATTTTGATACATCTTTAAGTTTTAACCTTGAACCATTATCCTGTTTATATTTCTTTTTTCTTATTTTAGTCTTGGAGCCATTGCATTTGCATTGCACTACATACTGTTTGTGTACGTGACGAATAAACCTTTTATACGCCATGAGACACACACACACACACACACACACACACACACACACACACACACCTTCAAATCCCCAAAACCCCAAAAGCCTGCTTGTTGTTGATAATTGAAATCAAAACATATTTAAATTACTATATAAGATTAATTCATAATATTATTTTTTAAAAGTTCTTCAATCATAAATATGATTTATATAACGTTATATATAAAAAGAAAAATGCAAGCAAAAGAGGAAAAAGTGGGGAAAAAATGACTAATTTAGGTCTAAACGTGACTCCATCAGAGATCAGCATTTGCATGTAGTCAGTGTATGAACACAAATCAGTGCTGATATGATTCCCCATACTGATACAGTCTTATTTAATTTGCCTGATCCAACCCGAATGCGTGGAAATCAGCTGTGATGAAAGGGAGACACAACCGCAGTTCAACGCAGGACTGCTCAACAACAATTCAATGCAAAAA